TTTTTCTATGTTCGAAAATTTTCGAACTTAACTTCGAATTTTCGCAATTGCTTTAAGAACTGTATTTGTAAGTTTTTATTCATAAAATCATAAATTCACATTAAATGAGTGAATTTTAGCATTTTTCAACCGCTTTTCCCATGTACGAAAATTTTCGTACTTAATTTTGAATTTTCGAAATTGCTTTAAAACTTGTATTTTAAGGCTTTTATACATAAAATAAGTTTTTCTAAGCTAAATTTTACATTTTTGAAGCGTTTTTCCCATGTTCGAAAATTTTCGAACTTAATTTCGAATTTTCGAAATTATCTTAAAACCCAAATTTTAAGATATTTATCCATAAAATAAGTTTAGCTGAGCTAAATTTTGCATTTTTGCAGCGATTTTCTCATGTTCGAAAATTTTCGAACTTAATTTCGAATTTTCGAAAATGTCTTAAAATCCAAATTTTAAGGTTTTTGTGCTTAAATTAAGTTAACCAGACCAAAATTTTGAGTGTTTAACAATTTTTTTCTATGTTCGAAAATTTTCGAACTTAATTTCGAATTTTCGTAAATCATATTTTAACCTTTTTATTCAAGAATTTTTAATGAGCTTTTTCTTAAGATTTTTATATGTTCGAAAACTTTTTTTGACCACATACTCGATTTGCTAATTTGGTTTCTATTGTAATTGACACATTTTTTTGGGTTATTTAACCCCAAAATTTTTTATGTATTACTGTTTTGAAAAGTATTGCTAAAAGGGCTTGGGCAGGTAATTGTTTTAAGAAAGAAAATATTTCATAAAAAACAAAATGCCACCATGTTTTTTGTTTAAGTTGTTTATGAGTGAACATTTTGCAAGCCGCCCATTAGATTTACAATTAAATTAATAAAACGCCATATATTTGTTTAAATAAAAACAATAACAAAATAATATAAAAATATGACAAACCAAAAAAAAAATTAAACACACATGCAACAAATAAGGTAAACATTAAATTTATGATCACGTAGCAGCATACTCTAACAAACAATAAACTTTTAAATAACCCAGCGAGCAATTGCTTAAAGGCAGGAAGTTGAAAAGAAAAAAATTATTATTTTTAACTAAATTAAAGAAATTATAAAGAAAATGATGAAATTTTAGATAGAGTTTTTGTTACAAAATATGTTTGCTGGGTTACTTATAGAGTCCTCTCTTTGTTCTCTCTCTTTTTCTAGGACGTTTTGGCCGTGTTATTGTTATACCCAAAGATGGCAATGACAACATGATACGCAGAGAAATATTCCAAGAACTTAGACAATTGGATAATATCATACAAAATGCCACCGTTACCTATGAGGGTGAGACCTTTACCTATAAGGACACTTGTGCCCGCTGGGAAAATGAATGTTTTGAGAATGATATTTTAAATCTGGACTATATAATGGATGATGTAAGTTTTATTTGTTAAACTGATATTCAAAATATTAATCCTTTCCTTAAACTTAAAACAGATTGAATCCGGTGAATTAAATTTGACTTTTCCGTTAATGTTTAATCCGGTCACCTGGGATGCTCATGCTTTTCCCGTATTCTTTGGTGGCACTAAACTAACCGAGGATAATTATATAGTCAGTGTGCCAGCCATACAATTGGTATACTTTGTTACCGCTGATACTAAACGGCAAGATGCTAAGTAAGTTTTAAGTTCTTCTAAACCCAAAAAAGTAACCCTTTTAACCCTTTTTTGCCCCCCTTTTTTCTGTTCTCTTCACAGAGGTGCCGAATGGGAAGAAACCTTTTTACGTGTGGTTGGCCAGGCCGAAACTACTGGCTTTTTCAAACACATTTCCGTAGCCTATTTTGCCTCTAGGACTTTGGATCATGAGCTAGAGAAAAATACTCAAACGGTGGTGCCTTACTTTAGCTCCACATTCATTTTAATGGCTCTTTTTAGTGTAATCACTTGTATGATGGGTGATTCGGTGCGCTCCAAACCCTGGTTGGGTTTAATGGGCAACATTTCGGCCGTAATGGCCACTTGTGCAGCCTTTGGTTTGGCCATGTATATGGGTATAGAGTTTATTGGTATTAATTTGGCGGCGCCTTTTCTAATGATTGGTAAGTGTTAACGGAAAAAAGTAGCAAAATTTTCCCATTTTGGGAACTTTTTTCAAAAACTTTCCAAAAAGTACTTTTTTGTAATTTTGATCTTTGGCCAATTTTTTTCAAAAGAATTATAATCTAAACACTTATTTTTGTATAAAGTGTAATAAAAACTAATATTTTCCAATTTTAGGCACTTTTTGCAAAAAGTACCAAAAAAAGTTCTTTTTGTTTTAAAATGATATTTCGCCAATTTTTCCGAAAGAATTAAAATCTAAACACTTATTTTTCTAAAAAGTGTGATAAAAACTATTATTTTCTCATTTTAGTAACTTTTTGCAAAAAGTACCAAAAAAGTACTTTTTGTTTTTAATACATTTTTGGCTAAAATTTTTGGTAGAGCTTTAAGTAAAACACTTATTAAAGTTAAAAATGAATTTTTTTCAATTTTTGGAACTTTTTCCAAAAAGTACTTTTTGTTTGAACATGATTTTTGACCAAAATTTTTGGAAGAAATTGAATTATTATAGTTTTTTCTGTAAAAAGTGTAATAAAAACTAAAATTTCTCCCTTTTAAATACTTTTTTAAAAAAGTACCCAAAAAGTACTTTTTATTTCAAAATTAATTTTTGGCCAAAATGTTTTAAATAAATAATACTATAATACTTATTTATGTAGAAAATGTGATAAAAACTAAAAATATGCTATTTTAGATACTTTTTTCAAAAAGTACCCAAAAGGTACTTTTTTACTTTTGCTTGATTTTTGTTAAATTTTTTGTAAAAAATCAAATAATAATTCCTATTTCCATAAAAAAGTGTAATAAAAACTAGATTTTTATCAATTTTTATACTTTTTGCAAATAGTACCAAAAAAGTACTTTTTGTTTTAAATAAATTTTTGAATAAAATTTTTGGTTAAACTTGAATTAAAATACTTATTTTTGTAGAAAATGAGATAAAAACTAAAATTTCTCCCTTAAAATACTTTTTTGCAAAAAGTACCAAAAAAACTACTTTTTGTTTTAAATTGATTTGTGGCCAAATTTGCTTGGAAACACTAATATTTTATTTTATTTTCCTCTAAAATTCTTGAAAACCCCAAAATTGCTTAAAAATTTCCATTTTTAAAAAAGTACCAAAAAAAGTACTTTTCTTAACTTGAGGGCATTTTATTTAAAAAAGTAGTAATTTAATGTTTTTCATTAATTTAGAATATATTATGAAAAAAATTCTTGCAAAACTAACTGAAATTTTGTAATATATGGCAGAAAAGCAAAAAGTACCCAAAAAAGTACTTTTTTAAATTTAACACCATTTTGTTAAAAAAAAGTAGAAATGTAATGTTTTCCTCTAATTTCTAATAATTTCTAATATTTTTAAGCAAATTTCTTGTAAATTTATTAGAAATTGAGGTTATTTTTAGAAAAAATCAAAAAGTACCTAAAAAGTACTTTTTTTAATTAATGCTTTACGACCTCAAAACTCATTAATTTCGAATATTTTTTCAATTTATAATATAAATTAAGCAATTTTCTGGTAAAACTAATATAATTTTCAGTTGTTACTTAATAAAAGCAAAAAGTACCAAAAAAGTACTTTTTTAATTTATGCCAATTTTGCTTTAAAACTTAAAAATTATAATGATTTATTGATTTTTAAGAAGTTTCTTACAAAACTAATGTCATTTTCAGCAATTTTCCATATAAACCAAAAAGTACCAAAAATAGTACTTTTTTAATTTATGCCAATTTTGGCGCAAAACTTAAAAATTCCAATGATTTCATTAATTTGATAGCAATATTAATAAGAATTTGATTCATTTACCCAGAAAAAGCAAAAAGTACCAAAAAAGTACTTTTTTAATTTATGCCAATTTGGCCCCAAAAGTTAAAAATCTTAATATTTCTTTAATTTCTAATAATTTTTAAAAAATTGTCTGTTCAAAATAATAAAAATTGTACATTTTTTCCCAAAAAGTACCAAAAAAGTACTTTTTCTCCAAAGTCCCGTTAACTAATGTTTCTATATCTTATCTCAATCCTTCAGGTATTGGCATTGATGATACCTTTGTCATGTTGGCTGCTTGGCGTCGTACCTCTTTAAAACAATCGGTGGCCGAACGTATGGGTCATACAATGTCTGAGGCTGCTGTTTCCATAACCATTACCTCCTTAACCGATTTAATTTCCTTCTGGATTGGTGTCATTAGTCCTTTCAGATCGGTACAGATTTTCTGTAAATATTCTGTTTTTGCTGTAGGTTTCACATTTCTATGGCATATTACCTTCTTTGCTGCCTGTATGGCGATATCGGGTTATCGGGAACATCAAAATCGTCATGCTCTATTTGGCTGCAGGGTCCAATCTTTATCGGTGGCTATAAAGGGTAAGTACCATAAGATTTTTCTTAAATTTTAAAAATCCATTAAGAAATTTTTGTTTTTATTACAGAAAAGCGTAATATTTTCTATCGTTCCATCATGTCGGGCGGTATTAATCGTGAGGATCCTGACAATCCCATTGATAATAAGGATCATATTTTAATGAGATTTTTCCGCAACAAAATGGCCGCTGTTATCAATAATAAATGGTGTAAATTTTTGATTATTTTAATCTTTGGTGCCTATCTGGCGGGTGCTTGTTATGGTATTACCCAGATCAAAGAGGGTTTAGAGCGCAGAAAGTTGTCCAGATCTGATTCGTATTCGGTGGAGTTCTTTGATCGTGAAGATGATTATTATCGTGAATTTCCTTATAGAATGCAGGTGGGTTTTCTGAGAAGAAATTAAAATTTTTGAATAAAATCTAATTGTTTTTTCCTTCCAGGTTATTATCACAGGAGATTTGAACTATTCCGATCCCATGGTCCAGGATCAAATTGAGGAATTGACCCGTAATTTGGAGAATACTTCGTATGTTACTTCTTCTCTGTATACCGAATCATGGTTGCGTTCGTTTGTCTCCTTTGTGGATCGTAATAATGAATATTTGAACTTAACCTTGGACACGGAACAGGAGTTCATAGAAGCTGTCAAGGAGCATTGGTTATTCCCCGGAAATCCTTTCTCTTTGGATGTTAAGTTTAATGAAAATGAAACCCGCATTATAGCCTCCAGATTGCTGATACAAGCGGTTAATATTACCGATACCAATCATGAAAAGGAAATGGTTAGAGACTTGAGACAGATCTGTAAGGACTCTCCTTTAAATGCCACCATTTTCCATCCCTACTTTGTGTTCTTCGATCAATTTGAACTGGTGCGTCCTACTTCGCTGCAGGCCATGGTTATTGGTGCTGTTATTATGATGATTATATCCTTTGTGTTTATACCCAATTTCTTGTGTTCCCTATGGGTGGCCTTCTCCGTTATCTCTATCGAATTGGGCGTGGCTGGTTATATGGCTTTGTGGGATGTCAATTTGGATTCGATTTCCATGATTAATTTGATCATGTGTATAGGTTTCTCGGTGGACTTTACCGCCCACATTTGCTACACTTATATGTCTTCGAAGAAGAAGAGTCCCAAGGCCAGAGTACGTGAATCTTTCCATTCTTTAGGCTTGCCCATATTGCAAGGTTCCAGCTCCACCATTTTGGGTATAGTGGCTTTACTTTTGGCTCAAAGTTATATATTCTTGGTGTTCTTTAAAATGGTCTTCTTGGTAATATTCTTTGGTGCCATGCATGGCTTGTTTTTGTTGCCCGTTTTGTTGTCGCTCTTCGGTCCTGGCTCTTGGCAAACTTGGACGGGTCGCGATACCGGTGGTGAGGAAGAAATTGATGATTTAGATGTTAAACTGAAGGTAGCCAAAATGGATAAAAACTTTATTAATGCCTTCTATATGCCCTATACTTCCTCGGCCATGGGAGGTGTCAATGGTTTCGGCAACAAGGGTTTCCTAGGAGCTCCCTATAAGGCATATGGTGATGAAAAAGATCTAGGCATAGGCACCTCCGGAGAGGATTCCTCTGAGAGCAGTTCCTCACGCTCACAAAGACGCCAAGCTCTAGAAGATGAGACTACACAGCGACGTTATGAAGAAGGCTGGCGTAAATCCTCCTATAATGATCTATTTGCCAATAATTCACCCTCCCAATTCCAACCTCATCCCGCTTTATACAATCAAAAGGTATCAGCTCATGAATGGCGTTCTCGGCTCGATGAACATCAAGAACGTAAACTCTCCTCACAAAGAGGTGGAGAACGTTTCGCCTACGATAACTATGGTGCCGATTTACAAAGACGTCAGGGTGAGTTTGTAGATGAAATTGAACAACGTGTCACGCCCACTTCTTCCCTAGATGAACGTTCACGCCGTAAATATCGCACAGCACTGCAACAGCAACAGTCACCACACAATAATAGCGCTAGTGGTGATGAGAGTAGCTATCATCAACATCATAATACTGGCGCAGCAGCACTTGCCAACTCCTCGGGTGGTAAACGTTATCAACGTAGACGTTCTTCCGAAGATTCAACTAGACATTTTCAACGTTGGCCCGCGTCTAATATAGAAGAACGTTATATGCGTCGTCATTCACCCTCGACGCGCGCACAAAATGCCTCCACCTCTCTACAGCATGAAGATGGTGATTATCCCACGTCCTACGGCTATCGTCCTCAGCCACCCAGACGATCATCTTCACATCATAATCTCTATAATCCTGCCCAAAAACATCCTCCCACATATCAGTTTGGTGGCCCCTACTACCATCACTAGCGAAGGTGGGAAAATGAGCGAATAATTATTTAAAATTTATTTTAAATTAACACAGACTATTATATTTTTATGTTCTATGACCAGGACTAGGGTTATGAAATTTTTATTTTATTTTTTTTTAAATTTTTTAGTTATTTAAGTGTGTAATTAATTTATAGTTAAAACAAACGTCATGACACAAAATGCAGGTTTATTATTTTATAAAAATAATATAAAATATAGGAAAAACACTAGAACAAAAGATTAGAAAATAAATTTTTAAGCGTTTATTAGGAATTAGTTTAAAACAAAAGGGCTTTGGGAGTGTATAATATACATTCTAGGGGCTTAAAAGTTAAGGCAAAGATGTTAAAGGGAAATGTGTAGTATTATAATGTTTAAAAGGTTATAATTGACTTATAAGGTATTTTAATATATTATAATGGAAATATAATGTGTTATAATCCATTATAATTGGATTATAATGTGTTTTACTCCTTTATAATGTAATTATAATATGTTAAAATCTATTATAATTGCAATATAATATCTTATGATGCATTATAATGGAATTATAATGTGTTTTAATACACTATGATGTGATTATAATGGGTTTTAATACATTATAGAGGGATTATAATGTTCTATAATCTGTTATAATTAGATTATAATATGTTCTATTACATTATAATTCCATTATAATGTTTTAAAATACATTATAACTGGATTATAAGGGATTATACTACATTATAATTAAATTATAATATGCTATACTATATTATAATTAAATTATAATGTGTTATATCATATTATAATGAAATTATATTGTGGTATACTACATTATAATTGGATTATAATTTGTTATAATGAATTATAATTGAATTATAATCTACTATTCTATATTATAATTAAATTATAATGTTTTATAATAAATTATAATTAGATTATAATGCGTATTACTAAATTATAATTGGATTATAATATACTATAATGCATTATAATTGAATTTTAACGTATTACGCTCCATTATAATTGTATTATAAACTGGTTTTCTATATTATAATTGGAATATAATGTGTTATACTATATTATATTTGGATTATAATGTACTATACTAAATTATTAATGAATTATAATGTGTTATACTGTATTATAATTGTATTATAATGTATTATAATGCATTATAATAGTATTATAAATCTTTATTATAAACTATAATAGGATTATAATGCATTCTACAACATTAAAATGTGATTATAATGTTTTATACTTTATTATAATTGGATTATACTGTTTCGTACTACATTATAATTGAAATATAATTTGTTTAAAGCATTATAATTGTCTTATAATCAGTTGGACAGCATTATAATGCAATTATAATATGTTAAATTACATTATAATCCTATTATAATGTCTTATACCACTTTAAAATTCTATTATAATGAGTTATACCATATTATAACATAATTATAATGTATTTCCTTAACTTTTTTAGCCTTAATACAAGTTTTTTTTTGCGCAAAACTTTTATTTATATGTATTAATTTAAATTATAAATTGTTATAATTTTAATTTTTAATAATTATAACCATTAACAGTCATTAATTGTTGAATTTTCCTTAGAAAATATGACACAAATTAAAAAAAAAATGCAGATCTATAATGTTGTCTTAAGACAATATTATGTGATTGGTTTTAGGTTTTTTAACAATTTTAACAAATTCTTGCAAGAAAATATAGTTAAAATTCTTTTGTAATATTTTTTATACATTAAAGAACAAAAAAAAAAATATATAAAAAAATTTAAATACTCATACATTATTCCATTATACATTTGATAAATATTTAAGCATTATTACAAAAAAAAAAAAACAAATCATTTAATTTAGTATAATTTTTTAATACAAATTTAAACAAAAAAATAGTCACTATTTTTATAATTATTTAAAAGAAGAAAAATGAAACAAAAAAAATTTATATAAATATTTAAAAGTTTTATGGTTTAATTTTTACGATTTTTAATAACAAATATTGTTATTTGAAAAGACCTTTTCTTTTTTTTTTGTTTTATATTATTAATTAACAATTTGTACATGTGTTTTTTAATTAATTATGTATTATAAGTAGTGTTTTTTTAAGTTATAATATTTTTTTAATTTTATTTTAATTGTCTTTCCTTTTAGCCTAAAAAAACGAATGAAAATTTAATGTTTTTTCTAAATAAACTTTAAAAAGTTTTTTGAAACTATAAAAAAAACACGCTTTTTATTATTTTTAATGCTGTTTTATTTATTTATTAAAATTTTGAAACATTTTAAGAGTTATACGAACTGAAACTGTAACGACATTGACCATATTTACCGCAAGGAGGTTCTATAGGTTTTTCGCATATATAATAGTGTGATGTTGTGCAATCCTGTCCATCATTCTCAAATGTAGCGGTTGTTGCAACACAATCTCCAGCTGTGCCAGTTGGAGCTGCTTTTAATGGTTTTCCAGTGCCCAACCAGGTATAACTTGTTGATCCTGTCTTAATTCCCGATAACCAATATTTGCTATCCAAAATCTCTTTATGAAAAAAATAATTCGTTTTATTAATTTTTTCGGGAATTATCATAATTTCAAAAACTATTCATGTTTTTTTCATTTCGTAAATTTATCTTACCATTTATAGTGAGAAAAGAGTAAACTCTTTTACGTTCATCAGTATTTGCATCGAGCGATGCCAATGACATGCCCAATTGAGCACAGTTATTGGCTGCCTCATAAAACCCTACTTGTTCCGTGGTCTCAATATAATAATGTTTGCTACCCAAAATAACGCTGGTGCCACTTTGTGCTTCAACGTTTAAAAGACCATTCAAAATGATCATACTTAAACTCAAATTTAAGATTTTAACAAAGGAATTCATTTTTTATAAGTTTTAAACTTTACTCTTCGAATTTTAATAAATTCTAAGGTTTGAATACAATTTACAAAAGTTTTTATATGCATTTCGGCATAGGTTATCAAGTAATATTTCCATGACATTGATAAATGCGTTTAAATGTTTTGAATAAGTAATCATCCATAGCAAGTAATTAAAAAGTAATTAATAATCAAGACATTTTTTTAAGTTTAAAAGGAGTGGTAATAAATCGGTCATAAATATTTAATAATAATATGATTTATATTTTATCAAATTAAAATTGTATTATAATATAATTATAATGTGTAATACCACAATTTGCTTATAATATGTTACAGCAATATAAAATTCTTATACCACATTATAATAATATATTGTGACTAGAACTGAACTGGAACTAAACTATAACTGAACTATAACTGAACTAGAACTGAACTAGAACTGAACTAGAACTGAACTAGAACTAGAACTGAACTAGAACTGAACTAGAACTGAACTAGAACTGAACTAGAACTGAACTAGAACTGAACTAGAACTGAACTAGAACTGAACTAGAACTGAACTGAAATAGAACTGAACTGAAATAGAACTGAACTAGAACTGAACTAGAACTGAACTAGAACTGAACTAGAACTGAACTAGAACTGAACTAGAACTGAACTAGAACTGAACTAGAACTGAACTAGAACTGAACTAGAACTGAACTAGAACTAAACTAGAACTAAACTAGAACTGAACTAGAACTGAACTAGAACTGAACTAGAACTGAACTAGAACTGAACTAGAACTGAACTAGAACTGAACTAGAACTGAACAAGAACTGAACAAAAACTGAACTAGAACTGAACAAGAACTAAACAAGAACTGAACAAGAACTGAACAAGAACTGAACACGAACTGAACTAGAACTGAACTAGAACTGAACTAGAACTGAACTAGAACTGAACTAGAACTGAACTAGAACTGAACTAGAACTGAACTAGAACTGAACTAGAACTGAACTAGAACTGAACTAGAACTGAACTAGAACTGAACTAGAACTGAACTAGAACTGAACTAGAACTAGAACTGACTAGAACTGAACTAGAACTGAACTAGAACTGAACTAGAACTGAACTAGAACTGTACTAGAACTGAACTAGAACTGAACTAGAGCTGAACTAGAACTGAACTAGAACTGAACTAGAACTGAACTAGAACTGAACTAGAACTGAACTAGAACTGAATTAGAACTGAACTAGAACTGAACTAGAACTGAACTAGAACTGAACTAGATCTGAACTAGAACTGAACTAGAACTACAACTGAACTAGAACTGAACTAGAACTAGAACTGAACTAGAACTGAACTAGAATTGAACTAGAACTGAACTAGAACTGAACTAGAACTGAACTAGAACTGAACTAGAACTGAACTAGAACTGAACTAGAACCGAACTAGAACTGAACTAGAACCGAACTAGAACTGAACTAGAACTGAACTAGAACTGAACTAGAACTGAACTAGAACTGAACTAGAACTGAACTAGAACTGAACTAGAACTGAACTAGAACTGAACTAAAACTGAACTAGAACTGAACTAGAACTAGAACTGAACTAGAACTGAACTACAACTGAACTACAACTGAACTACAACTGAACTACAACTGAACTAGAACTGAACTAGAACTGAACTAGAACTGAACTAGAACTGAACTAGAACTGAACTAGAACTGAACTAGAACTGAACTAGAACTAGAACTGAACTAGAACTGAACTAGAACTGAACTAGAACTGAACTAGAACTGAACTAGAACTGAACTAGAACTGAACTAGAACTGAACTAGAACTGAACTAAAACTGAACTAAAACTGAACTAGAATTGAATAAAAACTGAAGTACATACAACCGAACATACAAACATACATACATATGTATATTTGTATAATTAAATATGCATATTATTCTAAAATAACAAAAACAACAACAAAACTCCTGCTAGTTCCCACAAAACCATTGCACTTACCTCGATTCTCACTCTGTCGTTTATGCGTAGTACTTTTTCATTCGATTTAATTAAACAAAACCTTGCACCACAATCCCTCCAGGTCATATATCCATTATCTATATATATAAAATTCTAACGTTACTGACTGACTGACTGACTGACTGACTGATTCACTGACTGATTCATCATCGCACAGCCTAAACGGTTGAAGCTAAAGAGCTGAAATTTGGACAGGAGGTTGGTCTCCCGCCAAATAGATCCACTAAGACGGGATTTTTGGAAATTCGAATGTTTAGGGGGTAAAAAAGGGTAAAAACGGGTAAATTCGGTAACCTTATATCTCCTAAACTAGAAAAGATACAAAAACAGTTTAAAGCTTATCGCCGTTCATTTAAAAAATAAACGGATAGGTGTCTGGTACTTTTTTAAAATTCGGCCCCTTTAGGGAATAAACGGGTAAAAACTGTATTTTGGTACTTTTTTCGCACCCCATGTATCTTTTAAACCAGTGCACATTCAAAAAATATTTTTGACTCCTTCATAACTTAACGAAAAAATAAAAATATGAATTTAGTACTTTTTGGATATTCGGACGTTTAAGGGGTTAAAATTGTACCTATTTTTGGTACTTTTTTCATAAAACATTGTTTTTGGTTTATTAACTTATACATATGAATACATAATAAGGGGCTCCCACTACGATGTTGCAACTTTTTGGAATAGAATTTTTATTTCGTTAATGGGGAGGAAAAAAGTACCAAAAGGGGTAAAAATGGGAAATTTGATTTTATTCAACCACAATGATCGAATTTAGATAAAATTTTTAAATTTAAAAACACTACATATCCTAATGGGGTGTTATTTGGAACCCCGGTACCAAGTGATATTTTTTGGTACTTTTCATTCTCCAACTGGTCCTTTTTGAGTTTTCTATGATATTGAAATAGAAACATGAAATTAATAATAAAGGGACTTTTCGCTACTTTTTCGTTCTACACAGGTACTTTTTTGAGTTTTCTTTAAAATTAAACCTAGAAACATGAAATTAAGCATGTAGAGCTCGGAGTAAATGAGAATCTATAAAATGGGACTTTTTGGTACTTTTTCGTTCTTCAAAAGGTACTTTTTGAATTTTCTATAATATTGAACCTAGAAACATGTAATTAAACATGTAGAGACCGGAGTAAATGAGAATCTATAAAAGGGGACTTTTTGGTACTTTTTCGTCCTTCGACTGGTACTTTTTGAGTTTTCTATAAAATTTAACCTAGAAACATGAAATTAAGCATGTAGAGCCCGGAGTAAATGAGAATCTATAAAAGGGGACTATTTGGTACTTTTTCGTCCTTCGACTGGTACTTTTTGAGTTTTCTATAAAATTTAACCTAGAAACATGAAATTAAGCATGCGGAGGCCTTAGTTAATGAGAATCTATAAAAGGGGAATTTTTGGTACTTTTTCGTCCTTCCACTGGTACTTTTTGAGTTTTCTATAAAATTTAACCTAGAAACATAAAATTAAGCATGTAGAGCCCTAAGTAAATGAGAATCTATAAAAGGGGACTATTTGGTACTTTTTCGTCTTTCGACTGGTACTTTTTGAGTTTTCTATAAAATTTAACCTAGAAACATGAAATTAAGCATGTAGAGCCCTTAGTAAATGAGAATCTATAAAAGGGGACTTTTTGGTACTTTTTCGTCTTTCGACTGGTACTTTTTGAGTTTTCTATAAAATTTAACCTAGAAACATGAAATTAAGCATGTAGAGCACTTAGTAAATGAGAATCTATAAAAGGGGACTTTTTGGTACTTTTTCGTCTTTCGACTGGATACTTTTTGAGTTTTCTATAAAATTTAACCTAGAAACATGAAATTAAGCATGTAGAGCCCTGAGTAAATGAGAATCTATAAAAGGGGACTTTTTGGTACTTTTTCGTCCTTTCGACTGGTACTTTTTGAGTTTTCTATAAAATTTAACCTAGAAACATGAAATTAAGCATGTAGAGCCCAGAGTAAATGAGAATCTATAATAGGGGACTTTTTGGTACATTTTCGTCTTTCGACTGGTACTTTTTGAGTTTTCTATAAAATTTAACCTAGAAACATGAATTAAGCATGTAGAGTCCAGAGTAAATGAGAATCTATAATAAGGGGACTTTTTGGTACTTTTTCGTCCTTCGACTGGTACTTTTTGAGTTTTCTATAAAATTTAATCTACAAACATGAAATTAAGCATGTAGAGCCCAGAGTAAATGAGAATCTATAATAGGGGACTTTTTGGTACTTTTTCGTCCTTCGACTGGTACTTTTTGAGTTTTCTATAAAATTTAACCTAGAAACATGAAATTAAGCATGTAGAGCCCTAGTAAATGAGAATCTATAATAGGGGACTTTTTGGTACTTTTTCGTCTTTCGACTGGTACTTTTTGAGTTTTCTATAAAATTTAACCTAGAAACATAAAATTAAGCATGTAGAGCCCGGAGTAAATGAGAATCTATAAAAGGGGACTTTTTGGTAACTTTTTCGTCTTTCGACTGGTACTTTTTGAGTTTTCTATAAAATTTAACCTAGAAACATGAATTAAGCATGTAGAGCCCAGAGTAAATGAGAATCTATAATAGGGGACTTTTTGGTACTTTTTCGTCCTTCGACTTGTACTTTTTGAGTTTTCTATAAAATTTAACCTAGAAACATGAAATTAAGCATGTAGAGCCCAGAGTAAATGAGAATCTATAATAGGGGACTTTTTGGTACTTTTTCGTCCTTCGACTGGTACTTTTTGAGTTTTCTATAAAATTTAACCTAAAACATGAAATTAAGCATGTAGAGCCCGGAGTAAATGAGAATCTATAAAAGGGACTTTTTGGTACTTTTTCGTCCTTCGACTGGTACTTTTTGAGTTTTCTATAAAATTTAACCTAGAAACATGAAATTAAGCATGCGGAGGCCTTAGTTAATGAGAATCTATAAAAGGGGACTTTTTGGTACTTTTTCGTCCTTCGACTGGTACTTTTTGAGTTTTCTATAAAATTTAACCTAGAAACATAAAATTAAGCATGTAGAGCCCTTAGTAAATGAGAATCTATA